ACACATTTGAACCTGCAATGCGTCTATGCTCGTTTCGTGGTGGTGGTGCTTATGATGACGGAACAAATCCAAGGAGAGTTTTGCATCTGGCATGTGGTCTGTGCTAAGAGAGCCGCGCTCGCAAGTCTGCGCGTCCGGACGAGCACAGTTGGTGAGGATGCGGACTCGGACGTTCGAGTTTGTGTCGTTTTGGCCGTGAACGACGCCATAGTTGCACCACCTGCCAATTCGAGCTCGCAAGATCCCGCCCCGAACCAAATCCCGAATCAAAGGTCGATCGGACATTGGATTGCCGCAGTTTCCTGCTAGAAGTGCAAATATGCCAAACTGAGTTTGAATTCTTACAAGTTCAGAAGCGACATTTGCGCGCGCATGGTCCAAGATGTTACCTACGTTCGTTCCTTGTCCCACCAATTTGAACCACGCTAACCAAGGTTTGAAATCTTTCATTTTCTGCAGTACGGACTCGCACTACGTATGATTGCTAAGTCTGGATATGTCCATGTTGACTGTCTTGATCTGACCCTGGAACACAGCATGTACAACGTGCTGCCTGTGACCGCGCCCATCATTAAACAACCAAATGGACTCTCCATTTGCGTTCGCGGCAGCTGCAGTGGCCAGCGCTCGCGAGAGCTTTTCGCATGTTTCTGGCATGCAGTTCGAATCAAACGAAACGCTGAGAAAATTGGGAGGAAGAGGCGGAGTGTATATTGGTGCAATATTAGGAAGACAGCGAGGAGGTGAAGGGGGACGGGTCTCCAGTTTACCCCCGGAACGCAAGAGAGCGCAGGACCCGCCATCATGCGCATGACAGCGCCCATGGCTCGAAGTGTGCGTCTGCGCGCAAGACGGAGGTGGATTATGATCTTGTCTCGATCCACGAAAAGAGGTTTGGGGTTCTCGCTTTTCCATTAGTCACGCAATAGAAAATCGATGCGAATTCTGCAGTCTTTGCTCCTGATGACGCACGTCTAAAACCATCACATGGCAAAATCAAATGACCAGAAGGGGCTTTCTCGAGCTGGTGAACCCTGCAACCTGGAAGTGGCTCAATCTTTGCCGGTCTCATGTAGAGTTTCCGGTGAGTGGGCCTACAATCCAAAGCGCTATCCTGGCGCTCCAATGTCTTCAAACCTAACAGTCCTGGCAATGGCGAGTTGGGAACGCAAGGGGCCGCGCATGTGCTGCGATTCGAATCCGCGTCCATGCGAACTGGCGCCTCGACTGCATCAGCTACTGCTCGCGCCCTTTCTCCTACCCCTTCAACCCCGATTGACCGTGAGAGGGGGTAGAAGCGCTCCTTCAAACCAAATTGCGAGGCAATGTTTACCAGTGTCTTGACCCAGTCGCCCCCGCGCAAATTATCATACGCACCAGGGCCCGCAAGAATACCAACTCTCCCCGAGGTCAAACGGGTTCGGATATGTACGTTGTATGCTGCGTGCTCGGTGGCGCCATGGTCTACCCACACCCATGGGAAATATCTCCGGGCATTTGGATTCATCGGCGGGGGGTCTCCGGAGCTCTCGGGATGTTACCGCGCGCGTTTGCTGACAATGTTCTGGTCCACTCGTTAATTTCCTTACCAGGTGCGGTTGCTGCGCCAGCGTTGGAAGAACCCCCAAGCGTCGGCATAGTGGAGGTGCCCTCTCGGCGCAGTGCCCCACTCAAGCCCAGCTCGACATCATCGCACAATGAATGCGTTTGCGTTTGCGCTTGCGCGTGTTGTGCGCGCTGTGCAATATGCTCAAATACGCGTTCAAAACCGCGCTCAGCTGATGAACTCGCAACGTATGTGGCATGATCGATTGTCTGGGCAAACATCCTTCCAGCAGGTGCCGATGGCGTGCCTCAATTCCGATGCTCCTGGTTCTTGGAGCAATTCCGCCGGAAATGGTACTCGCTCTCGCACTGAGAGCATTTCGTGATTTTGCCGTCGGGCCCGATTGGGTTTTTCTCTTGTTTCTGGAATGTTCGGCGTGCCCCGAAACGAGTGCTCCAACAACGTTTACCCATGAATGTACGGAACCTGCGACGATGATGTATGCAAGCTGCTGCTAAATCCTCCGTTGCGTTTGCATGCCCGTACTGTGGCACTACACCTGAAAATTCATGCTCAAACTTGTTTTCGTCGTCGGACCCGGTGTCTGCGTCGAAATGGGGGTCATCAAAATACGAGCATGCGGATGTAGAGCCGCATGTTTCACATGGCGCGGGATTGCCCGATTGGGTTCCCATCTCAATTGACGTTGCCCCAAATGCCAGCATTGCCGCGGGGTCAGAGGTGATTGGTCCTACCTGTCCTAATGGTTGCCCCCGCCCCCCTGAGACAATATGGGTTACTGCGGGGGAACCGTACATATATGTCGCACCCTGTGCGGCTACAGGGTTTTGATGCATCGCCATGGAAACATTGTTTGGGCCAGTTTCTAAGCAGCGCGCTGTCTGCTTCAGGGTCAGTCGAAGACGCTTGTACGCATCGTCAAATTGTGGCAGGCTCCCCCAGTCTGAGCTTGCATGAACAACTGGGGCCACAAGTGCGCAGGAACTCGCAAAGCTAACAACAGCCACCAACTGTCTCCCAGGGGGGGGTCATGTCACAACCAAACCCGTCAGCCCTATACGTCAAGATGTCGACACGAAAAACTGCCTCATCCACAGTTTCCCAATTCAGGCGAGTGAACGACATTATTTCGCTGATTGCTCGAATACTGTGTTCGAGGTCGTTTCCGCAGCGTTTTTTTTTGACAGCGTTTGGGTGAGAAAACCTAGCCCAGAGACGTTTTGAGGGCCCACGCCGTCCCCAAGATCTAAGGCGGCGCCGTTCGTCAGAGAATCTTGGTTCAGCTCTTGGGCCATAGCTCGGGCGGTGCCCGTCAGAGCCAAGACCACTTGATGTGCCTGCTTGTGCGCGGGCGCATCCGAACCTAAACTCCACGTCGTAAAATCTTTGACCCAACGTCGAAAAAAGGATACGCTGCCCCCGCGCCTGGGCCCCGAATTGGGGCCACCTTGAGCATATTAGGACCAGACCGTGGGGAAGGATGCTGCGGAGTTACTCCGGAAGCTCGTGGGTAAGGGGGGGGAGGTGCCACTCCAGGTGGTGCCCCGTAACCTTCGCCCTTCGATCCATATTGAGACCCCTTGTGGCTCATGACTGTGCTGGTGATACCCAAAAGGGGGGTGCCGCGGAAGGCAGAGCCCGCTCCGCTACCAACTTGACATTGGGGGGATCAGCGGTCGGTCAGGCCGCGAGGCGTGCAAAAGCAATGGCAATAAATGGATAGCAAGAGGAGAGCGATGTGGGATTGTATATGTTTCAGTGCGCGGCGCAGGTAAGTGCAACAAAATATGACAGAAGTCTGTGCCGCGCGGCTGCGATGCTACAGTGCTGCTCTCTGCGCTTTCTACCCTCGCCTACGTGCTCTCATAACTGGGGGAGGAGGAGGGGGGGGGGGAGAAAGGACGAGGAGAGGAGGAGGAGGGGGGGGAGGAGGAGGAGGAGGAGGGGGGGGGGAGGAGGAGGAGGAGGAGGAGAGGAGGAGGAGGAGGAGGAGGAGGAGGAGGAGGGGAGGGGGGAGGAGGAGGAGGGGAGGAGGAGGAGGAGAAGGGGGAGGAAGAAGAGGAGGAGGAGGACGAAGAGGAGGAGGAGAGGAGGAAGAGGAGGAGGGGGAGGAGGAGGAGCAGGACTAGGAGGAGGAGGAGGAGGAGGAGGAGGAGGAGGGGGAGGGGAAGGGGAGGAGGAGGAGGAGGAGGAGGAGGAAGTCGAATGACATCTGGCGTGCTCTCCCCCTTCCTCCTTGTGGCCAGACGGCCAGACCGCTGATGCCCCGATGATCGTCACCATCGTCTGCCGGGCGGCCCGCCCGGCTAGATGAGCCGTAACGGCAGCAGGTCGCACAGGGCGCGCCCCCCCCCTTCCTCCTGGTGGCCAGACGGCCAGACCGCTGATGCCCCGATGATCGTCACCATCGCCATTGCCGATGCGGCCCTTTGGACTCGAACTCCCCTCCTCTCTCTGTCGACAGCTCTGCCGGGCGGCCCGCCCGGCTAGATGGGCCGCAACGGCTGCAGGTCGCGCAGCACGCTACGCCCGCCTCGCCCCCGCACCCTTTCACTCGGGTCGGGAATTCTCGCGCTCTGCGCGGCGAGGCGCGGCGCAGCGCCACTGCGCGCTGCGCGCCGCAAAGGCGACCGGCTGCAGCCCGCTCAGTCGCCACTCGCTCTGGAAGCCCAGCCGCGCGAGCGCCGCCCTGTCGATCTCGCCCTTGGTCAGCGCATCCGCCAGTATGTCGTCCGCGTCGATCCAGCAGAGCTGCGCCAGCTGGAGGCGGCCCAGCTGCTCCCGCACCGCCAACGTCGGCACGAACATCCGCTTGTCCGCTGTGATATTGATGGCGGCAGCGGAGGCGGCATCGAACACGGCCTTCGCATCGATGGCCGCCATCATCTTCAACGTCAGGTCGCCGTTCTCCTGCCGCGCGCGCATCCGGTTCGCAGAGCACACTCCCTCGTTGATCTCGGTCAGCGCCACGTCCAGGAGCGCCCCCGTGCCGAGCGCGTCGAGCAACGCCATCAGCTCGGCCGCGTACGTGGACCTGACAACATTGTTCTGCTTGCGGCTGTACCAGTCCAGCATCACTATCTTGTGCGTAGATCCCGTCTTCAACACCTCCTCACTAGCTTCTAACAACATTATCACGCAACCTCGGATCGCCAACCCTTCGAACTCCATGGCGTGGAAGGCCGAGTCGCTGATGACAGCGAGTCGTGCCCGGTCCAAGCTCAGCGCGATGAACCGAGCTCCGAGCTGCTTCACGGTGGCCATGATCCACTTCAACAATCGATTGATCTTCCTGTTGTATACCGACATATACTGACATATACTGCCATCCAAGCAATTCCACCAAGCAGCGACATGTACGCTGCGTGGCTTTCCACATGCACCTGGCCATCTTGATTCTCCATCACGTGCTGACTTCTTGAAGTGGTCGTAACTACTGGGCGTAGTGCTGCTGGTGCGTCCAGATGGCCTTGGTCACCGGGCCCTGCTCGTGCATGACGCCGATGCACTCGAAGCAGTGGTGCTGGCGCTCAGCTTCCCAAACTCGCCCTCTATCATGCTCAACACCTTCTCCCTCAGGTAGTCCTCGCCGCCGCCCTTCGGGTCGCCCACGTGCGAGGACAACATGACCTGCCGCAGCCTCGGCGCATGCTTGAGGCCGAAGCCGCACCGGAGAAGCAACAACACCTCTGTCACAGGGCTGTAGCCCTCGTAGCCCTCCAGCTGCCGAAGGACTGGAATCGATCCTGGCGGCATGGCGACCTGCGCCCTACGCTTCACCTCGCCGTCCACGGCGGCGACCTGCTCGAAGGTGAGACCGCGCAAGAACGCCTGGCTTATGTCCGCCGAGAACAGTCGCCACTTGCGCTGTGCTGTCATCTGGTCGACCAATCGTTGCCCCCATCGCGTCGTGGCGCCCGCGAACGTGGCTAGGTCTGGCGACTGCATGTCATAAAGCCCCTCACCGTGAGCCTCGCGCGCACCTGCTTCTTGCCGTCGATCTCCTTCCACTTGAGCACCCAGCGCGAGTCGATGACGTTGTCCGCCTGGTCCTTCGGGAAGCGTTGGAATGCCTTAAGGCCACCCAGCGCCGGAGCTCGTCCTTCATGGCCTGCCGTACTTCAACCTCGTGAGCACGGGCCTCCTCCAGCGTGAGCACGTTCACCTCGCGTTCTACGACGATCTCGCGCTTGCCCGTGTTGTAGACGCGCAATATATATATATATATATATATATATATATATATATACATATTTACATATATATATATATGTCACCCGCTCCCGGGCGTTGGATGTACTCCACCTCAGGATGCACCCAATACATCAACGGCGCGCCTATGCCGATCTCGACGCAGTCGAGTCGGGAATTCATGGAGCCCTCCTCTATGGCCTCCGCCACGTGATCTGCGTCCGGGGCCGCGAAGAAGAAATCTCTCTGGGCGCGCTCGGCATCGACCGCGGGCAAAGCGGCCTGCTCCTTCATGTACTGCCAGCTCGCGAGTTGGATGAGGGGCTCGTACTCCTGGGTCGCGTCACTGTCCGAGTCGCCGTCATCATTTCCATCGTCATCTTCCCTGAGCGGAAGTACAGGCTCATGCAGTTGCGCGGGAGCTCCTGCTGTAGCTGCTGGCTCACCAGAGCCTCGAGCTCCACGATCACGGTCCGAGTCGTCACGTGAGCGTGATCTCTCTCGAGCTTTCTTCATGTCTGAAAACGCTTTCCCAACTCTCGCTGGCGGTGCGACATTGTTGGGGACGGCTGGAGCCGGGGGAGGTCCTCGGGGTCGAGGTTGTCCTCTATCACTCCGACTCCTCGTAGATACACTCGACTGCCTTGATGGGCTCGACAGGCTTGTGTCGGGCACTTCCGGTGTAGCTGTACTCATCCGTATGGATATACTCGTGTCGGATATCGACCTGTCCTGCCAGGGCATGTCGATGTCCTCCTCCTGAAGCCCCGGTGGGTCCTGAAACGGTCCGGGTTCAGGTCGCCCTGGCTGCTCGAATCGTCGCGCATGTGGGATATTGCCGAACCATGGCCGTCCAGGATGTGGCACTTCGGGTTCACGTCGCCGAAGTTCCCGAACCGACTCGTCGTCAGTCAGGATGAACTGAACAAAGCTAACTTCTCGCCAATGGTCTTTGCCAAATATCTGCGCCAGCTTCAAGCGAGCGGAACCCGACGCCTCATAGTGCCAGGACAGCTCCGGGCGGCCGCGCCGCCACCGCCACAGGAAACCGCGGTCACATCCGACCATCCCTTCGAGTGCGGATACGCCATTGCCCACTCCAGCGCCGACGCAGCCAACCAAGTAGAAACCGCTGGCTGCAACCTGCAGCACCGCCAGAACCAGCTCGCTGAGCTTCTGGCTGTCCGCGGTCCGCTTCCACCCGGCGTCGAAGAGCCACCCCGCCCGCGCGACCTTGCTGTCCAGCTGGTCTGCGTAGCTCACGATGGTGGCCACTGGGTCGCGCGATCCTGCCTCGAAGAAGATGTTGTTCGTAAACATTGCCAAATACACAAGGCTTCGTCGGAAATCCTGAGGTCGAACTTGAAAGACTCGGCCTTGCCATCGAACGAGCACTGGAGGTCCAACCTGCAGCAGGGCAGCCAGTCCTCGCCAACCCGACTCCCCCTTCGTGCTCGGTGGCCGATGGAAGTCAACCTTATCGCCGACCGCCAGCTGCAGTGCCTCGTGAGGGGCCCGCGTCTTGGATCGAAGTGCGCGCTTCAACCTGTCCTTCACGGTCACCTCAACCATGGCCTGCATTGCTACTTCACGTAGTCGATGATGGTGTCGTGAGATGCCTGGGATGCCAGCAGACTGGTCGTCAATCTGACAGTCGCTCACCGGCTCGAACTCTGCAAACAGTGGAGGAAGCCGGCCGTGCACCGCCTGGTAAGGGCTGAAGCCCGCCACGGTGATGAGGAGGTTCTTGATGAGTGTGCACTCCGCGATCAGAATTTCCAACGGCATCACAATACCCTCTTGCTCAAGCTGGCTCCGCACGCGGTGTATGATCTGCGTGCCAGGTCGCGATGGCGTTCCACCAGCTGCGCGTGCGAGCCACGGTCCAGCCACTGGCACGCCTCCTCGCCATGGAGGCCGCCCTCGATGTCGGCACTCAGCAGCTTCGTGGGGCCGTGAGGTCGTATCCAGCCGTTGGTGATGCCGGCGATGATCATGATCGCAGTCTTGCGGTCCAGGATGTTCAGTACTGTCCAGCATGTCGCTTCATCAATCATCCACCATCTGGTCGCCGATGTAGAGGATGCCCCACTGCACCATCTCGTTAAAGCTCGTCGCGAGCCGAGAAACCGCCATGCTCTTCGGTCCCGGTCTCGCCCATAGCCTGCGCACCCGGCACGTGTCACAAATTTCCTTCACCAAGGCCAGAGTGGGCGCAGGAGCGCCGGCCTTGGTCAGTAGCTCTCTGAGGCGAGCGGCTGGAGCGTGCCAAAATCGAACATGAAGTCGTCGCAGCTGTCGCCGAACGACCTCCTGATGTGGGCTATGAAGCAGCCTCAACGCGTGGCCAAGGTCGAACGCAGTCCAACCGGGCTCGTCAATGCCTCGAGCCTGCGCCCCCGCATCCACTCCTCGAGCTCGTCCGGCTGGGGCCGCAGCAGGCTGTTCTGCGATAGGTGCCTCGCCAGCGCCGTCCGCTGATCCCGAGGCGCCGCGAGATGCCTCAGCCCGCTCCGCTTCTCCAGCCGCCGCCAGTCGTGATCGAAGTCGAGGACCATCTGCTCGAGCTGCTCGAGGTCGACGTTCTGCCTGCGCAGGTGGAGGCGGCGGCGGTTCAGGGTCGGCATCCGTCGCGTCGGCTCGAGCGGCGCTCGGCGCCTGTCACCGTTGGCTCCTCAAATGCCGGCGGTTGCCGCGGTCGCAGCTCTCGAGGTCCAACTGCTCTTGGAAGAACGCCGTCTGCGCGGCGCTCTCCAGGTATTCGGGCATGCCGTGCGTCTGAAGCCGCGCGCCCGCCCCGGCAAGCCGGGCACTTCAGGTCGCGCGTCCGCGCCAGTATAGGCTTGAACGTCTCCCCTCGATCGTGTGATGGGTGATCAGCCGGCCGATGATGCCGACATCCTGGACACGACTGCACCGCGGCCGGAGCTGCTGCTGCTGCTGCTGCTGGTGCTGCGGCTGCTGCTCCTGATGCTGGTGCCGCGGCTGCTGCTGCCGCTCCTGCTGCTGGCGCTGCGGTTGCGGCTGCAGCTCCTGCTGCTGGTGCTGCAGCTGCCGGCGTCGAAGAAGAAGAGGAACCAACGCGACCAGACTGCACCGCGACCGAGTGGTAGCACCCGAACACGACGAGGCGATGTCCCCGGCACCTCACGCGCTCTATCATGCGGGAGATGCTCGTGGCCAGCTCCCGGCAGATGCCCATTGCCCACTCCGCGTGATCCTTGGGATTCTCCAGGCGCCACTGGTCCCGTTCGGGGCAGGATCCTCGGCCACCATGTGCCAGCAGAGCGTGCCCGTGCTGGCCGTCGCACCGAAACTTCCTGAGTCCGGCGATCAGGCGCTCGTCCGAAGCCCAGAACTCGGAGGACTTTTCGATCGGTAGTCCTGTTCGCCATCCTATCTTGCCGGCCATGCACTGGTCGACTTGGCACCACACCACCGCGTTTGTTGGCGATGTATCGCCAGTCGTCAAGCTTGTAGAAGTCGCTGCCCAGCGGTTGCTCCGACACGATGTGGCGGCCCGCGTCCATCTGCGCACGCGCCGCCGCCGCGGCGATGCGGGCCAATCCCACTGATACCCTGCGACTGCGAAGCCAGCCGCTGTAGTTGATGACCCTGTTGAGCGCCGAAAACCCCTTCAAGCTGGCACAGGGCGTGCTGATAAGTAGCACGAGAGGCTTACCGTGGTGCAAGTACTCCCAGAACTGCTTCTGGCCCTCGTGCGTCATCAGGTCGCAGTCGCAAATGAGGTCGAAAGAAGGGCCACCTCGGTATCCTCGTCGAACAAGTAGCCGTGTTGTCCCCGATGCGCCACCGCACAGCTCCGCGACATCGTCGTGCTGAAGGTGGCCGTAATAGGTGGTTCATATACTTTACCATGTCGCTCGCTGAGCTGAAGAAGTTACGCTGCTCGTCTTTCTCGCTCAGGTACGCCTCCGAGCCAGTCATGCCAAAGAACTCGGACATCATCACGTACGGCTGCTCGTCGATGCACTGGTCTTCCCTGAGCTCGGCGCCGTAGCAGACCTCGTCCAGCACGTACTCGTTCGCCACGTAGAGCTTCGTGAAGTCGGAGCCGCAGTCGTCGAAGACCTGTTCCACCTTCTGCGGCCTCTTCTTCGCCTTGCGCTCCGGGTCTGCTGCCTTGCGCGCCTTGTCGCGCGTCCTCTGCTCGGCGGGAAAGCTTGCGGTCAGCGCGCTCACCTTGCAGCCGGCGTCGTCGACATCGTCTGCGAACGAAACTCGGCCAGGGCGACGTAGCTCACGTCGCGACTGCTCCTCGTCGGCTTCTTCCAGGGCCGCTGTCCGTGATCCTGGAGACCCGGTAATCGTCGGATCAGCTCTTGACGACCTGGGTCGGGCAGCACCCCTGGCCTCACGGCCTGACGTGGGTGTCGCAGATGACGACGATCCGTCGACTGCGTCGCATCTCACGCCGCCGTCGAAGCAACCGGCGGCCGCCATCTGCATGACCAGGGCAGGTACCCCTTTGGCCTTGAAGTCCGGCCGATCTGCAGCTGTCTTCCGTGTAACGTGTCGGCCAGCTGGCCAACCGCAGCGACGCTTCGCGTCGTGGTCATCGAAGTAGCTGCAGCATATGCTGCTGATGATGATGCGAGTGACCTGTGCATCTGGAAATCCTCGAGCGTCGCGCACGCCCAGACCGCGACATCGTAATCGTCCCATGTGCCACCTGCCGTCGTCTAGCAGCTCTAGAATGTCGGGCATGTCCCACACCACGCTGCCCTCGCCTGCCTCGACAACGCAGAGGCGATGTCCTTCAAGTTGAGCTCGAGCGATCCTGCACTCGAAACGCTTGGCTCGCTTGTCGTTGCGGGTGCCCCGCGCCGTGCCCGGCTGGGCCAGGCTGACCCACGCGAGCTCCGGCCGCTGGTGGCGCAGGGATTCCGCCAACCTATCCTCCTGCCCGAGGAATCGGTGATGGTCACAAATGCGACCCACCGCATATCCGCATCCGTGCAGCGCGTTCTGGCACAGGTTCTGCAGGTAGCCGAACACCCATGCCGACGGCGGTCTCCCCTGTACTTCTCTGGCGCCCCCGCCGCCCCGAGCACCGAGATGGGGTGCCTGCGATCGGAGGTGCAGGCCGCCCTCGTCGGGCCGCCCGCTGGCGCTGTTCGCAGCGGTTCCGCTGCCGGATGACATTGCAGTGGTGGTCTTCTTGCTCGCCGTGCCGGCAGCCGTCGGAGTCGGCGAGGTCGCTGCTGGCAGGCTTGCGTGTCGGACGTAGTCGAAATCGCCAACGCCATCGTCCTTGTCGCCCCCGCGCTCCTCGATGTCGTCAACTCGTCGTAGAGGTCGCAGGGCAGCATGAGGTGGCCGGCGTGGCTCTCCTCCAAGTGGTACGGCGCCGATCCGGGACTCAGCTGCAGACAGTAGCCGCCGGGGCCTATGCGGCACAACCGGTCGTTGAAGCAGTCAAGCGTGGCACGCTGGTCCCGCAGCGATTTCCGCCCGAGCAACGCCGGCGCGCTGCTGTTTGGGAGCACCGGCGCCTCGCAAGTAGCAACCTGCCCCCCCTGCAGCGCCAGTTAGCAACGACGGGAACGGGTCGCCTGCTGAGATCCCGAGCCCTCGCCGCCAACCCCGAGTCTTGCCGAGGGGTGTGCGAACTGGTGGTAGAAGTCCTGTCGCTGTTTCTCGGCCATCCGGTTGCCCCGCTCGTCGCCAGCGAGGTTGCCTGGGCCCCCGGGGTCCACCAGCAAGGCCTCGCCGCTCCTGTTCTTCATGCGGGTACGAACCACCCAGAGGGTCGCCCAGCGCAAGAATTAAGCGATTCCCGGAAAAATTAAGCTAAGTGTAAGAAATGGTTTTGTTAATTGATCATCTTTCGCAGGCGCAAGAATTGAGCTAACCATATATGTATTTATAATCATATTTCATCATTTATACGCTTATACGTGTTATGTTAGTATAGCACTGTAGGTATGCGCATATAACGCTTGTAAACATATAACATACGTGACAGAGAGAGCTAGGGACATGGACAGCGAACGTGCACATAAGGCGTCTGCGCGCGACCATCGTGCCTGGCCAGGGCGCCGGGATGGCAGACCTCCATGACCTCATCCAGGAGGTCGCACGCGCCATGCCAGCTCCCCAGGTGGCCCTGGCCAAGCATGGTGGTTGCGTATAGCCGCCTGCTGCGCACTCCGATCGCAATAATCCTCCTGCAACCCTGCGATCGAGCTCCATGCCCAAATTGAAGGAAAGGAAGAGGCGGGATCGGGGCGCGGTGAGGGATCGAGGGGATGAGGCAAGATCGGGACGATCGAAATGGGTATGAAAAAAACCGAGTACAACGACCAGCAGCATGTCTGGTTCATGTTGGACAGGACTCGCTGGCGTCGCCGCGGCATGGAGACCAGAAGGCCGCCTGCCCAACAGCGGCAGGACAACATTTGTTGTTGGACATTGTACTCGTTATTTTTCCGTACACATTTCGGGCGCACAGGATGAGGATGCACGCGGGCTGTTTGCGCACGTCGGCGCTCGCGGTCGATCTAGACTGCAGCACGCGCCTTGACCTCTACCTTCAGCTGCTTCGCCTCGTCGACCACTTTTGCGATGCCCTGCAGCGGGGCGCGGGGATGATGACGACCGCGATGGCGAGGGGGGGGGGGGGAGGAGGGCGAGGCGGAGGCGAGGAGCTCGAGGACGAGAGGAGGAGCAAAGGGGGCGCAGAGAAAAGATCGAATTGGGGCACGAATCGGGGAGACTGCATGACGTGGAGGACGGGTGGGTCGAGAGAGAAAATTAGATGGAGATGGACGGGTTACCATCACCATTGTCATCACCACCATCACCATCATCAGCATCATCATCACCAGCATCAGCACCAGCATCATCGTCATCATCAGCATCATCGTCATCATCATCATCATCGTCGGCATCATCATCAGCATCAGCAGCATCATCATCACCATTATCGTCCTCATCCTCGTCCTCCTCATCATCACCAGCATCGCCACCATCCTCAGCATCCGCGCCCTGACCCTCAAGAGTCCCCACGCGCCCCCGCAAGCCTCGCAGAAACGCTTCGGGTAGTGGCCAGTCCAGCGGGGCCAGGGGTCGTCGCCCGTCTCGGCTTTAATCTTCCTGAACTTCTCGAACTGCTCGCCCTTGGAGACAACGATGGATGAGGAGAGAGAGAGAGAGAGAGAGAGATAGCGATCGAGAGATAGACAGAGAGAGAGAGAGCTCTAGAGAGAACGAGAACGAGAGAGAGCGGGGGAGAGAGAGCGAGCGATATAGATAGAGAGATCGACAGAGAGAGAGAGAGAGAGAGCCCCCCCAAAAAAAAAACATATGTCAGAGAGTGGGGGAGAGGGAGATCGAGAGAGAGATAACAGAGGGAAGGGAGAGCGATGCGATACCAGAACGAGGGAAACATAGAGAGAGAGAGAGAGCGAGAGAAGGAGTGTGAGAGAGAGAGAGATGCGTTTACACGCAGACCAACAATTCGAAGTCCACGCGTCCACCACGTGATCGTCGTCGACACCACGCGGTCAGCCCATTCGAAAACACGCTGAGCCACGCGGGACAGGACCCTCACGATCGAACAACATGTTCATATAGTGTCGGCATCGATGTAATATACACGCGGGCCATACCATGACATGGCGGAGGGAGTCGACCGAGACAGAAACCGCGATGTGACCTACAATGTCTGATTCGTTAGGCAACGAAAAGAGGTAGCGGAAAACATGCGTCCACGTTCTTGTGCAAGTGCACTTGGACGCTGTGCTGGACCTCAGGGTTGACCATCAGCTTCGAGGACTTCTCCTTCCGCTCGCCGCTCACGTCGCAGAATTCTGCGAGCGAGGGTGGAGGGGGGCGCGCGAGCGACTGGCAAACCGACGCGAGCGGAAACGCGAGCGACATCACGTGGATAAGAGCTGATACCATCTCTCAACACGCCCAGTTTCCCCAAGAGGCGTTGAGACGTTGGAAGGATAGGGGCAACTATAGTACGATGGGGAGGGGGCGATAGAGAGAGAGAGAGAGAGAGAGAGAGAGAGAGAGAGAGAGAGAGAGGGCGAGCGGGCCAGTTATCTATATGGAGCGGGCGAGGCGTTGAGCGAGTCAGAGCGAGAGCGAGAATATAGAGGCACGGGGAGGAGATCGAGTGAGAGACCGAGGTCTATAGAGAGAGAGAGAGAGAGATCATATAGCGAGACTGTATAGAGGGAGAGCTGGGAGTTGAATGAGTGGGGGGAGAGATCAGCGAGAAAGAGAGAGAGAGAGAGAGAGGGAGAGAGAGAGAGAGAGAGAGAGAGAGAGAGAGAGAGAGAGAGAGAGAGACCGAGAGCGAGACAGGGGCCGTGTGATATAGGGGAGAGCGCGAGGGGGAGAGAGGCCAGAAATGGATAGAGACGTTGGCGAGGGGCCCGGACAATAAATACAGTCCTGATATATTCGTGATGATCTGCACGAAGCCCATGGATGCGAGCATGTTGACCTGAGGGGCATCGGGCGGAGGGGTGCAGGCGGGGTGGGGTGAGGATGATTGCCCCCCCAGCCCTCTCACACCTCGCTCCCTCGCTCGAGATATACGATCGTGTTCTATATACGACTGGAGGCAGGGGGCGGGTGGGCGCGCCACGCATCGGGCCCTGGCGGCCTGTTCGGGGTGCGCGTAGAATTCAGAGCCGACGGGCTGGTCGAATATGCAGTGGACACCCCGAGCGTTGCAGGTCATCGCGATGCTCGAGGTAAGCTGTAGAGATCTGATAGGGCGCTCGAGTGCATATGCGCATGAGCTGGAGATATCTCGCTCTCTCTCTCTCTCTCTCTCTGCATTTATATGTCCCCCTATAGCTTGACTATCGCTCTCTCTCTCTCTCTCTCTCTCTCTTTCTCTATCGGCCGATATGTATAATATATATATATGTCGCTTGTCGCATCGTATGTCGAGTGCGTCTTATCTCTCCCCCATCCCTCTCCCTCTCTCTCAGAGGAGGAGGTCCCTGCGCCTACAGATCATGAGCTCATGAGCGGTCGATATCTCGATCCATGGGGCGAACGACGCAGGAAAGCGAATCCTCAGCGATAAAGTTGGCGTCGTCCACCTGCTCATCTGACATGCTGCCCCAGTACTGAAAGGGTTGGTCACCTTCGCGCACAGCTCTGAGCTGCTTGGATCGATCGGTCACCACCCGCCCCCATCCCTCACCCAACCTTCATGCCGAACGAAATGTACGTTGGTCACCCGTCGTGGTTGAGTTCGCCCCCCTCTACCTTCGATCCGATGCTTCACCCAGCCGCGTCCCCAGCATGGTGGATTGATCCAGCAGGTTCCACCAGGTTTGAGGCGTAGCACGTGGAGCCCCCTATGGGCATGAGCAATCCCCGCATCCCGCATATCAGCCCTCAAACACTCACCCCGATCGATCTGGCGTGGATCGGCTGGGCGGGGGTGGGATCGGGGCGAAGGCGAAAGCCAACTTTGGCAGAAAACCGTCCCAGCTGGGAGATCCCCAAGCCCGTGCAGATGTTCTCCTCGGGGCTGCGCAAGACGTCGTACTCCTGCGCGGTGTTGCCAGCCGTGCAGGGCACCCTCCAAACATCCCCCTCGTGGGCCCCGTGGGCTATCGTGTTCAGGGGGCGAGCTCGAGCCCGTCCCCTGAGCACTAGGACATCCTCGAGGCATCATCCTTATATAGGATGATGCATCGAGGCGAGATCCCCGATACCTGATCAGATATCTGTACCTGATCACGTGGCGAGGAGGGGGTTGAGGAGGAGCTTTGACGGGAGCGCGCCTTTCTCACCGTTGCGGACGCCCTGCCATGCCCCGCGAAGATCTCCAACAAATCGAGGTCGCGCTTCACGTGTTTGATGTGCTTCTCCACGCTGTACCACACGCTGAGGCGTTCTTCCTATAGAGCGGGGGGGTGGCACCTGGGGCGGGATGGATCTGTCTGGGCGTATACTTCGTCGCGCGTCATGTTGCGATGCTCGCGATCGCCGTCAACACATCATCGATGCATGGTCATCACCGCGCATGACATCATCACCAGCATCACCATCGTCAGCATCATATAACCAGCATCATCATCATCACCAGCATCATCAACATCAGCATCATCAGCATCATCCACCATCACCATCATAGTCACCGAGTGCATCCAACATCAGCAAGCATCATCATCACATCGCTAGCGGTCGAATCCGCTCCCGTGATCAGCGTTGTATCATCGTTCGATCGCGCTCTCTCTCTCTCTCTCTCGCTCTCCCTCTCGGTCTCTCGC